CGGTGCTCTTCTGCTCTCCCAGAGTAGACACAGAATAACTATTTTATTGCAAAAAATCAATAACTGTAAGTCAACAAAATAAAGGGGAGCAAAGCTTGGAAAAAGTTTCAAAAATTATTGACGGGGGTGTGGTGGGGAACGACAAAATAAATTGATGTCAAAAATGCTATTTTTCTTTGACATATAAATAAAACCATAAAAATTAAAAAGGCCCAGATAATTTATTGCAAAATATTTGTTAATTTTCATGGATATAATTACTATAAAATAAAAATTGTTAAAATTTCAATAATCAGAGCCGCACCTATGATACGTATTTGGGCCTAAGAAATTTTGCAAAATTCTGCAATATAAACATAGATTATAATTGTTACAAAAAAAGTTAAAACAATTGTCCCCCCTCCCCAGGTTTTCTATACCTGTACCCTTTAGCATTTAACATACTTCTTTAACTTAAAAAATTTATTTTTTTTAAATTGGAAAAAAAAATGTGGGGTTGGGGGGGGGGGGGTGTTTGACATAATTATATAGTTAAGGAGATTTTGCTGAAAAAATATGTATCCAAAGACATACATTCTGAGCCTGGCCAAGGTCTTTAGTGTATTTTCCCCACATCTTACTATCTCCTCAAATTAATTTGTGTTGAAATTTCAGATATCCTTACTTTTGTACTCTTGTTTTAATTCCGCCATCTTGTTTCAGCCGGAAGTTCATTATCATTATACACAGGGTAACTTTCGGCAGTGATTAGCCAGCTTCCAGTAAGCCCTACATTGAACCCACCATCACCATCAGCGGACAGCATCTAAGCGCAGTGGACAAATTTATCTACTTGGGCAGCACCCTCTCCAGATCCGTCGTCATGTATGACAAAATGAATGCCAGACTCACAAAAGCTTGTGCAATATTTGGTAGACTCCGCAGCACTGTTTGGGACAGGAGAGGTATCAGACGAGAAACGAAGATCAAGGTATATAGGGCAGCAGTCCTCTCAATATTGCTCAGATGTGAAACGTGGACAGTCTACCAGCGTCACACCAAGAAACTAAACCTCTTTCACACAACATGCCTCAGGAAACTCCTCGGCATCAGGTGGCAAGACAAAGTACCTGACACGGAGGTCCTAGCTAGAGCAAACCTACCTAGCATCTTCACCACAATGATACAGTCTCAACTCCATTAGACAGGACACGAGGCCGGCATGGAAGACAACCGGCTCCCTAAAAAGCAATTCTTCGGTGAACCTGCGCTAGGCAAGCACTCCTAAGGAGGCAATACAAAGACACACTGAAAGCAGCACTAAAGGCCTTCAACATCAACCCTATTGAATGGGTGCAGACAGCCCAGGACAGAGCCAAGTGGCGATCAGCTGTCAAGAAGGGGGCTCAATCTCATTAAGCAAGAAGGATAGCAATAGCTGAGACATGCAGACTGGCCCAAAAAAGCAACCTTAGACCACCGACTACAGTAACTATCCCCTGCCCAAGGGTGCCTGAGGTATATAGTGCAGGTATATATATTCCGTGCATGGATCGGACTAGCAAGCCACCTATGCACTCATCGTTACATCCCCCCCCCCCCCCCC